CTGTAGAAAAAGTAAGGTGCCAGGTAGAGTGAAGAGACTATCCTAAAAGTTTTTTTTTTTTTTTTTTTTTAACAAAATACAGAAGAAAGCAGTACTTTTCAAAATCATTATAGACGGGGCCTAGAATACAGATAAGTCTCCATCTTTAAAAAGAGATCTTTTTTCCTTTATACTTATAAGGACCTCAGAAGTCATTTTGTCATGACACATTTTAGCTATAAACCAGTTACTACACAACCAAGAAATAATCTGAAATACTCATGCTCCAAAATAAGTTGAAAACTACACTTTACTACCTCTAGGAGTAATTCAAGTTAAGAGACAAGCAAAAGAATACCTTCACTGCTAAAATCCTAAATGATTCATCCTTAATTAGTGGCAGAAGGGGAATGTGTGCAATGTTAATTGGTCAGGCATATAAGTGGTAAGATCCTAATGTAATGCCTGTCATCTCAGGAATTTAAAAAATAATGTTGGAAGCCCCTCTTAGGTGCTGACTCAAATGCTTCCAGAGTAACACTGATTTTTCAAAGAAATATCCTTGGGGCATGAAAATTTTTCTTTAATAAGCCAGAAAATTTGATTTGGAATATTTAAACACTAAAATACTACTTACTACAATATATACTGGAAAAAACATTCTTATAAGTGACAGGAAAGAAAGAAGGGCTACTTGCAGCAGTATAATTGAGGGAATATTTATCTTAAGATTAATTGACTCAAAAGCAAAGACAGACATCAGAAGAGTTACTTAATACTTTATCAGAGCAAAAAAGAAAGCTGAGCACAGAGTTGGAAAGTCATAGCATTTGAGTATCTGTTTATTTTTCTGTTCACAATTTTCTCAACTGACTTTAATCCCTCTTGCAAAGGTGACTCTGAATAACCCCTTTTATTATTGTAATATAGGAAGCTTGAAATGGAAATGTGAAATTGAAAACTTACTTTTAAGAGTCATTAGATTTGGGGGGATTTTGTTTGCTTTTATTCTATGAACTTAAAAAAATATAATCTTTATCTTAGAGAAAACAAGGATAGATCAATTCATTATAAGCAAACATAATATAGATCCAAATTTGTATAGAATACTGCCCTAGGAATTAGGGCAAATATATGCATACCTATATGTATACATAGACATATACATATGCATACACACACACACACACACACACCCCACACATAAACACGTACTCTATCTTAGTGAAAATCTAGAGTTGAGTGTAAATAAAGTTGGGGCAAGCTTGTATCACCAAAGTTTATAATTCAGGTAATAGTGAGAAGTGCTCCTCCCCATTGCCTCTATCTGAATAGTGACTGCTTCATAGAGACAGCCTGTGGACCATGTCAGCCCAGTGGTCTGTGCTGTGAGAAGACCCAGAAGTCCTCCTGAAAAAACATTTCACCCTAAACTTACATGAGTTCCCTACTTAATAATATTTTTATTATCTAATAATTTATCTAAACCATTCTTAAATCTGTTTCTATTTCTAAACACTACCCTTTCTTGAGAAAACAGATTTAAAACTTAATTACCTAACAAATCAGGCTTCCTCTCTGTTGTGACAGTACATTCATGACAGTGAAAACTTCACTAGGTCCCCAACTAGGGAAGCTTTATCTTCATAACCTCATGGTGTCTAGCACATCTTGGATGTAAGAGATACATAATTAATGTATGCTAACTGAATACCCTGAGAATTGGTTAGAAAGAAGACCATCTTTGTTTATCTGCATCTTTGCTGTAGAAGATATTTATACTGTTTTTACATTCTCCCTTCATAGTCTCTACCAAATTAAAAGATGCTACATTACTTGAGTTTGATTATATATCATGCAATCTCATAAAACTTCAGGGTCTTTTTGTAACATGAATTTCCACAAAAATGGGTAATATCAAAATGTTTTGGAAAAAAATCACATGCTGATAAAGAAGAGTTCAAAATTATAGAATAATTGTATCAAATCATTCATTAAATATCAATTATTCTAAGTTCAAAACATAAGTTTGGGGACATAACTATATTTCATAAAATGCTTCATAAATATGTATGCCCTTCAGGGAAAATCCAAAAATTAACAATGATGTGAAAGGAAAAACAGAAATTAAACTAAATGTGACTTCTCTTTAAAGACTATTTTTAGATTTATATATTCAAGTTTTTCCAAACATACTTTCTTTTTAATTCTAGTATAATTAACATGTTATATTAGTTTCAGGTGTATAATAAATATAGCAACTCAAAAATTCTATACATTACTCAGTGAGCCTCATAATAAGTGTGTTCTTTATCCCCTTCACCTGTCTCACCCATTCCACCTACATGGTAACCATGAGTTTGTTCTCTACTCAAGAGTTCTTTTTCATTTGTAAAGACTAAATTTCTGAAGGGACATTTAAATGACTAGAAATATGTAAAAAATAATATTCATTAAGTGGAGAAAAAATTTCCTGTTTTGTTCATAAAATCTTACCTGTTAAAGATATTTTTCAATGTATGAATAAAATATTATTTCTAAGGAGTACAGGATTTTAAAATACAAAAAGCATTAGTGGTTTTTTAAAAAGGATTAATTTATTTATTTGAGATAGTGCAAGTGGGGTTAGGGGCAAAGGGGGAGAGAGAGAGAATCTTAAGCAGACTCCCCACTGAACATGGAGCTCTACGCATTATAAATCTCACAAACCTGAGTTCATGGCCTTGAAATCATTTCCTGAGATGAAATCAAGAGTTAGATGCTCAGTCACCTGAGCCACCCAGGCACCCCTAGCTATAATGTTTTGACAGAGCTACTCAACCTCTGTGTTTGTAGTTTTGAATCATTTGGAAAATAATGCAAGTTCAGATATGGTAATCTAGACATGTAAGTTCTACTAAGTTAAATCAGTTAATTTTGTGTTTAGGCTTCAAATGCATTATAACATGGCATTTTTTTTTTTAAGATTTTATTTAGTTATTTGACAGACAGAGATCACAAGTAGGCAGAGAGTCAGGCAGAGAGAGAGAGGAAGGGAAGCAGGCTCTCTGCTGAGCAGAGAGCCCCATGTGGGGCTCAATCCCAGGACCCTGAGACCATGACCCAAGCCAAAGGCAGAGGCTTAACCCACTGAGCCACCCAGGCACCCCCATGGCATATTTTTTCAACTGAGTAGGATTTTATGATATCATGGTGGATTAATAAAAACCTATAACTTAATATAATTAAAATTGTAAATTAAATTAATAAAATTAAATTGATAAAAATTAATAAAATTAAATTATAAAGTATCTGCTGATACCTCGTAAAGCTAAAAGTAATTTTTTTACAAGTCAGAATTTTTGAAAGATACATATATTTTTCCAATGGGTTCATTCATCTCCTAGTTCTTAGTTTACTGTTTACTTCCTTAACAAAGCTAATGAAATGTTTTCATAACTGTATCTGTTCAAGAACTATTTATTTGAACAAATTTGATCAAAGGTACACAAGGAGAGTAATTCACAAACAGTATAATAGTGTTTTGTTGAAAGCGTCATTCAATACATTTGATTTGAACTTTCTAACTGCCTTCAAAAAAAAGATAGAAATAATCTGACTAGATATTTACTGAGAGACAGTTCAGAGGATTTGTGTTTAATTTTTATTGACAACTTCAGGAAAATTATTAGTCTGAACTAAAAAAGTAAATAGATTTTACCTATAAAGCCTATTCTCCTCCAGAACCACAAAAACTGAAAAAGGAACCAGGATAAAAAGCAATCTAAAGGCCAAGGGAATCTCTCCCTAGGCTTCCCATCCAAAATCCTGCATGAGAAATTATAGTTATTTTTATTGCCAGGTTAGTTTAAGTGACAATGTTTAGTTTGGCCTAATTTGTGAGTTAATGGGTTATGTGATATACTGGAGAACACAATATGAACTTCCTAACTACTCCAGCCTCTTAATAAGTCATTAATAGAACATATTTACTATAGACTAAAAAGAAAAATGGGGATTTTTTTTCCAAATTAATAAAATCCCATATACTCAACTAAGGTAATATATATAAATACTGCTTCCTATTAAAATTCTGTACTTCAGCATTTACATTACAGATATTATTCTACAGAAAAAGCATCCAGAAAATTTAGGCAATTATCTGAAAAATGTAGGTCAAATACTGATCAAATTGACTCAATTAGCCCCCAGGGTGTGGACTTTAAAGATGAGTACCAGGCAGTGATGATCACCATCCTCCTTAATTTGTCTAAATTTGAACCTGTTTTACCACAGTAGAATAGAGAACACAGGCAATCATACTGACTTTTTAAATAAACCACACACTTTCTTATAATTTGTAATACTAGTCCCAAGAAAAGAGAATGATGCAATGTTGAAGGAAAATGAAGGACTGGCATTGGTTTCTAGTCTCCCAGGGCCATCTAAGCCTTTATTAGGAATCATTGTAACTCCCTTTCCACCTCTCTCCAAAATCTAGGTACTGCTTCTCACCAGATTTAAATGCCCTCAATATATACATATTTTAAAAATATCAACTACAGCTAAACCAAGAAAGACTGTAATTTTTAAGTTTAATGTTAAATCAAGGATAGCTGTTCTTTCAGGAAGTATGATAAAGGAAATGGATTTCTTCAGGATGGCAACTGTTACCACATTTTGATGAAGAGATAGTGATGTCTTGTTAAGAGAAGACAAATGATAGCTTGGTCAGGACAACATTCTGAACTACCCTGTGATTCTTAAGGAGCCAAAGCTCTTTGAACATGGCTACTCAAATCTCTTTCCATGGTTTGCTATTCGTAATAGGCATATTGATTTGACTAATATTTCACAAAAATAACACATGAAATTTTAGTGTCTATTTAGAAAATACAGCCACTATCTAGTGTTGTTGGGGAAAAGCTCCATATAAACTATACAGACCAGGAGCACGTGAGCAGCTCCATTGGTTGCATGTCAGACTCTGTTTCAGCTCAGATTATGATCGCAGGGTTGAGGGATCAAAGCCCTCATTGGGC